GGAGCCGTGTGCCACTCAGGACTGACCAGCGCAGGTAGGGGAAAGTGCAGCTGAGCTCCTGCTGCTCTGGCTGGGCTCATCCTGCCCTGACAGGCACATGGCTACTCCTCTTCCCACACGCAATGTGTCAGCAATGTCAGGATGACGCGGTGAGTGTGGGAACCTTGTCCCTTCCCCAGCCCTTCAGCAGCCATTAGGAAGCTGCTGAGGGGCTGGGGGAGGGACAAAGGGTGGGAACAAAAGTAAACAGTGTTTGCTTTCATTTCCCATCACAGCACCTCGGGCCTCAGAAAATGCCTTGGCGGGCCACATGTTGGGTAAGCCTGATGTATTGTGTGCTGCAGGGCACTTTTCTCTGTATAAATAAATATTTTTTTCTTTCTCTTATGTCACATGAGAGTTCTTAATGAGTAGCTTTTACCGTACTTTACAAATTAAAAGGAAGATAACTCTTTATGCTTGAAAGCTGTTTCTTCTGGATTTCTTTTGAATGACCTTTTTAAGGTTTAGTTTTTTAACAGTATACTTCATATATATCCTTCATATGTAATACTCCCGGTTTTATGCTTCCTTCTTCCATGGCCAGTGGGAATTTCTCAGAATTCAAAATTCTGAAACTTAAAACTATTTCACCACTGGATGGCATGTCTCTCCCTGATGAGGGTGTTTAGTCTAGGACACATGTATTTTCCAGTTGTGATTCACAGTGTAATCCACCTTATAGAATTATATTTCTTTTCTCTTAGCTTCTGAATATAACCTAAAAACAACATGAATTGCATATAAACTGAAGCAGTGTCAAAGCATGTTCCAGAATGTGCCCTGATTGCAACAACTCTTTTGTCAGTTTAATTTCAGTCCTGTTGCTTCATTTCCATAGCTTTGCTGATGATGAATTTCAAGTGTGACAATTCAAATAGCATTATTTAATTAGCTGCTTTTTCCCCACTTAGTACAGCTTCAGATTCAAAACTGACAAATTTAAGAGATCGTAGGCTCTACTTGCCTCTCTCTGTTATTTCCTTTTTATTAGTTGAAGAGAACTCCCCAATACTTGTTACTTAATTAACAATGTTTTGTTTTAAAGGGACTTGTTCTAGAAAAAATACCACGTTATCTGCCAGGTTTAGCCATTTAAAAATCTGTTTAAAGCCCTAAGTTATACTTTCTGAGCAGAATCCAACAGATTGTGCATCTGTTACATAGTAAACACTGTAGAGCAGTGGTTTTCAGCCTGTGATTCGTGGACCCCTGGGGTCTGTAGACTGTTTAAGGGGTCCATGAAAGGTGATGATCAGTCGAAAGTATGTCAATACCCACACTTACAATTCAAAGGGGTTCACACCTCCATTTGAAATTTCCAAAGGGATCTGTATGTACATTTGAAATGTTTAGAGGTCTGCAAAAAAAATCTGGATACATCTTTCCACTCTCTCACACTCGCACACTTCTCTCCAATTGAACTTGTAAATATGTAATGCTTTTAAACTGTAGGTACCGGTTTTTCTTCTGATATGTCTTTATTTTGCTGTCCTTTTTTTCATAAACTTTCCCATAAATTTCTTCTTTGAAGTTTCATGTTAAGTAGCAGAATTTCTGCAGAACTGGAACCATTGTGCGTCAGTAACATAAAAGCCCCAAAATTAAATTTCCGCTAATTGTTGAGTTTACTGCAGTAACAATTTACTCTGAAAGAGTAAATAATTTTTGCTTTTAGGGTTTTAAGTTTTTGCATCTTTGGGGAGCATATGGGGGGTCTCAGATGCCATCTTATGACTTTACATATACTAGAATGAGGACAATAACTTTTCTAAAGTTAGTTAATAAGTACATGCATTGGATGTACAGTTTCTGCAGTGTTTAATATTAATGTAGTTTCCTTAATGAATGTTTTATCAGTCTGTTGCCTGCATCTTTATTCTAACACACTAAGTTTTCCTTGTTTCTTTGCCTGCTCTTTGAACAAAGAGGATACTTCTGACAAGATGGATGGTAAGAATTTGTTTTGTCTGTCCTCCTCTAAACCTATTAAAACGTCTTTGAGTTTGCATTTCATGTAAAGTTTATGTGCATACTTATACTACTCTATTAACTAATGAAGTCTCTCAAAATTCTTTGTGAACCCTCCTGTATCATAATCTTGAAGTCTTAATGTACGTCTGTTTTGTATTATTACTGCAGTTGTCAATGTCTTATATGTGTTGTCCAGCTGCAAAAGAAACTTCATGCATATTGACACATCAGAGTACAAATAGATTTTATCTTCTTTCAGTCAGCTGGAACATCAGCAATTTTGAACTGTTTGTTTTTAGAGTTTTGTATTTGTTACATTTAAAAGTTTATGTACAGTGTGCTCCATCATGTTTCATGGTTTCCTCTGTACAGCCAGCATAGTCAGATTTTATTTTCCCCAGGAAAGACTTTCATTTAAAAAAAACAGTGGAGGAGAAGGCACTTATTTAAAAAATATTTTAAGGGCATTTATTTTTAAAGTTAGGATTGTTTTATTTAAAGAATATTTCATCAGAGTCTGTGTTTTGAAATAGTCCTATTTAACTTCTCAACTTGCTAGGATATTGTAGCAAATATACAATACCCTATGTAAACCTTCTCCTAGTTGGATTCTTAAAAGTATTGTTGAATGTTCTGAGCTTTATAGTCTTCCAAAAATGTATAGATTTTTGTAGCCAACTTGGTTTTAGCACTTATTGTTATAGCTATGTATTGTATACTGTTTTAGTTGTTTGCTTAATGTATGTATCACTAATGGAAAAAGCCTTGAGAGAAGCTGCATCCTTATTGTAGTTGCTACTCTCCTGAAACTATAAGAGCAGAGGTTGTCATTTGCCCAAAGGTGTTACAAGGGGCCATATTGTAAAGAAGCCAAAGCACCAACTCAGCAGTAGAAAATTCTAAGTCTGATTTATTTGCAGAGAACTCTTTGTGGTTTAGTGAACATTTAATATTTTATGCTACATACATTGCTACAATATCCTAGCATGTTGAGGAAAAATTAGGAACTGCCAGCAAGAAAGTAGATTATATTCCCCTTTACCCATAAATTAGTGAATAATACACAAATCGGACACAAGAGGAGAGAAGGTCTCTAAAATACTAGCATCTCAAGCCATATCAAAATTCTTTATAACCTTTACAGTAAATTGCACTTTGCAGCAATAACAAATATAGAATGTGGTGTCTGCTAATGTCAGTTCAAATCCCTTAATGTTGGGGAGGAGTCTCATTTAAAATAGCATTGTAGCTAGTGAGGAAAGAATATATAGACTCCTACAAAATCAAATTTGCTTATGTTGCAGCTGATAGGAGTTCTTTGTATATAATATTACAACAGTTTTACCCTTGACTCCTGTGGTCAGGTTGCCTTTTTATCACTGCGCTCACCTTGGAATTTAAGACAAGTAGAGAATTCAGAAAGATTTTTTTTTAAATTACCAACCAATTGGGGGAGGATTTTAAAAACCTGTCACTACCTGAATATATTCGCCCATAATTAGACCTTTGTTTCAAAGATGCTAGGGGCAAAAGGGTACATGGACATCTTCCATCTCTCTCCACTCTTTGGATTATACATTTATCCCATGCTTCATCACAGTAGCAGATGTACTCAGATTCAGCAGTCTCATTTAATTGTAGCTTGTGCTCTAAGGAAAGCTGTCTAGTTTTTCAAAGTTTTAAGCAAAAATTTATCTTGCATAAGTCCTTTCACCTCCTCACCTGCAGCATCTTCCCTCAGATTATCTCTACCCACTATTTAAAGCACTATCTGTATTACTTGCTTCAGTCTAGAGGTTGTTTTGAAACTCCTTGGAGAAGTGTTTAATTTGTGTGCACCTGTTATCTCTTTCTCAGGAGTAGCTTTCAGTAGGACATTTGATTTGAGGTCTTTGAAACAAATCTAGATGTGCTATTTTTAGATCAGTCTCACTCTCATATGAATGATGAGAACTTTTCTTCTTATTTTGTTATGCAGTGCTTTTCAAAGAAAGTTTGGCATCACATATTGTATTCCAGTAATTTGGTACCAAGCAGTCTTTGACATACTGTTTTAGTTTAATGGTGGAGTTGCAACATGAGAGCAGGGTTTTAGACTCCTTGTATAATATGCTTAGTTTCCTTAAGGATCATAGGAACAGTCTGAAAAAAGGAATTGAATCAAAAAGTAATAGTACTGTTTGGAATATCATTATTTTGTTATTTTTTCTGTTTAGGAACAGCTTCTGAAGATGGTAAGAAAATAAATCTTTTGTTAGATTAGCAAATACTTTCATCTTCATGCCTTCATCAATACAAACTAAATGATAGAAGTAGAACTATGTCATTGGGGTGCTTTGGGTTCATCTTGTTAGTTTATGCACCTAAGAATAATAATAAGTTATTGTTGTAGTATTTTTTGTAACTCTGCTGAATTAATATTTTAGTTCTCAAGTAGTCACCTGCAACAAAAATGTCATTGCCTAACATTTTTAGAGTAAGATGGGAGTTTTATATTGGAATCATAAATATTTTTTAAAAACTTTCATCCCCTGCTAGAATGTGCCCTGATGTGGGAAGCAGGTGCTACCATCAATCATCTATTTGAAATTTGAAAATCTATTTACATTGCATTGTTAAAATGCTTCCAGACTAGCACCAGACAATAGATGCATAGTCTCTAAATGAATAATCAGTATGTTTGTGTCAAAATGCAAACATATTTTTTTTTGTGTTAATGAAAATTTAATTGGGCTTTGAGCAGTAATTTAGCAACATAACCAAATGGTGGCACTCTATATTCCTGCATTCACTGGGTCAAATTCTGAGTACAATTACATGTCCTGCATCCTCATTAAAATCAGTAAGAAACATTGACATATCATGGGCATAACCAAGGGTAGAGTTTGACCCAGTCTAACTGGTGATGCTAATTCATTGTTTACTAATACCCAAGTGAATAACCTCCTTTATCCTGACTCTCTTCTCATAGACAATCTTCTATGGACTTTTCCTGTACTTGGATGAATAATGTATACTTGACTGGTCTCAGTTCTTCTGTGGAAAGCCTAATGGGGCTCAAACCTAGATACAATTAATCTGTGTTTCTAAAACTTTTGGGTCAAGTATTAATCCTGTGTTTCTACAAAACTTCAAAATTGGGCACACTCTTCAGTTGGTTTAGCTGTTAAACTCAGTAGTCAGTTCACAAGCAGTTTCCTTTCACAACCTTCATACCAAGCTTACTGAGCATTTTTACATGTGCTCCTGATGCGGCACCGGGCACTTTTAATTAGCCATGTTAATTAAAAACGCCTGTGCGTCACATGCATCGGTGGTGCATCCCAGTGCTGAGAAAATGGTGGTGGTGCACTTTGAAATAAAGCATATCGAACATTATTTTAGTTCAAAGCACACCACCACCATTTTCTCAGTGTGGAAATGCGCTGTGCAGCTGATGCACGTGATGCACAAGGCTGCCAGATCGTGTCAATTTGTGTTCCAGCAGACTCGATTAATTGAGTCTGCTCGGATGCGCTGGATTTCCAGCATGTCGGAGCAGGCTCCCCATACATGTGTAAGTGCCCGCTGTTTCTTCTTTTTGTTTTTGTGTTTGTGCTAGAAGGTTGTTTTGGGGCATAAGTACAGAACTCCAGCTATTCCTTTATTAACAGTAATTTGATTTATGGGTTAAGCATTGAACTGGAATACTCCCTTCTTGGTAATTTAAGTGTAGCCTCTGAACATTTTGGGGAACACAGGTGGAAAAGCAGGGGTGGTTCACTCTCCTTAGAGATGAATTGTGTTTTCATTCACCCACACACTTCCCATGTAACCTCAGAAAAGCTTTAAATCCACCTGCAAGTTAGCTTCTCCATCTGCAGAGGAGTGTAGAATTTCTGTACTTCACATTGATGATGAGGTGTCCATAATCTTTAAGATGAGCTCTCATTTAATTTTACAAAGATAAGAAATTTTGCTTAAGAGATTAGCTTTATCTTCCTATAGTAGAGAGGTTCTTCACAGGTTCAAACTACTTTAAAAATCCTGGGAAGTGCTACACAAGTGTAAAGCATTATTTTAGGTCCACATCCATGACTATATCATAATAATGTTTTGAGGGAAATTACATTTCAGATGTCTGAATCAAAGCAGTGTTGCTCTGTGTTGTTAAGAAAGCAAGGTTGGTTTTGTAAACTATAGGATGGAAAAATGGAAATTAGAAGTATTATGATTGTTAATTGAGTAATTATGAGTAGAATATGATATTTTAAAATTTATGTGCACCTCAAGTATTATAAAATATTTTTATTCTATAACCTTTCCTTTTGGGAAAATTGAATTTACATCATTTAACATTTTAAAATGACAACTTAATTTTAAATTTCATTTTTCTTACTGAGGCACATACTATGAAAAGAAAGCCTTTACACTTCTAACTGATAACATGCTGTTAAAATGAAAAAGTATAATAGATTTGTACACGTATGTTGGTTTGGATTATTTATCTTCATGTTGTTCTTTAATTTTCAGTGATAGTCATTTCTTACAATATTCGTAAGTCCTATGTCAGTTTTTCGTTCTCTTTCTGACAATAAGATATGTAATGTAATGTTACTTTTACTTCGTAGGGCGTGTACGGACAAAGCTTTCAACACCCTCTGTTGGTATTGGAAACTCAAAAACAGATTCCAGAGGACGCAGTAGAACAAAAGTGGTCTCTCAGTCGCAGCGTACGTATTCTTCATTTATCAGTTATATTTAGAAAAAGTTAGGCCAGATGCTTAAGTGCACATTCATTGGCCAATGGCTATGGTCAAAGTTACTTAAAACAGTAAGCAACATACTGAGTTGTTGTTCTGTGCCTTAGGTTCGTCATCGCCAGACAAAAATGAAGGTATTTTTTTCAGTGTTTTGGGTCAGTAGTATTTGCATGTTTTTGAAATATTTTCTAATTTGTGTTGTCTTTCTTTGGGCAAAATGTTAGGGCCAGGTCATTGCTATTTAAATCAGCATAAAAGGAATGCAATCTGCCACTAAATCAAATCTGTAGTTGTAACCAACAGTTTCATCCTCTTCCATTCCCACTTCCACCCGTTGTCCATTTCCCAAACATCTTGATGTACTAGGTACTTATAATACTTACGTTTGATCAGTGGGAAATGTGGTAGGGAATGGTGTAACTTTCTACTCTAAGGATACCTGAAAAACTTATTTCTTTAGCACTTAAAAACTTGTGGGTTGTTTTTTGGGGATGGTGTCTGTTTTGTTTGCTTCTTAGGTAAGTGTATTCTAAGGGTACAGTTCAGACATTGTTTACCTTCCTTTTTCAACTTAAGGTAGACAAACACAGTTAATGCTGCCTTTACTTAATTTTTTTTGCAAAAATTAAAAAAAATTTTCATTGTCTTCGTTTCTGTTTATTTAATTTCTATCAGCAACTCAGTATAACATACTCATGTATTCAGCATTAGTATTTTGTATTTCAAAGCTGACATGATAAAAAAAATAATATCAAAACCATTTAAAAAGATATTATTAGTCTGTTAGAACCTTTAGATTTACTGGTCCTTTTCATTTACAGACTAATTTGGTTCACTGAGGAATTTTGGGGGACCTTTATTTTTGTCTTGCTACAAAATTAGCTTAGTTTTAGTACTGAGGTGATTAATCTATTATGTATAATCTGCTATGCAGGTGATTTCCACTGTATCTTAAAGAGTGTCTTTAAATTGTGAAATGACAATGCAGTTGCAAGGTTTGAAAACTCTGATGGGTTATGGAGTCAGTTACCTGTAATTTTTTAATTATCTTTTCTTTATTTTAAAATCCACATACTGCCCAACATGAATTTTTGTTGTAGAATTTTTTTTACATATATTCATAATTTGGGGCCTGATGATCCAACATACCCTTATATACCATGTCCACACAAGCGTGGATGTTCGTTTCCCTGGGGAAACAATGATACTTTGTGCTGCTGCTACTTGTCCTTGGGGGAATGGTAATGCCATGCACCCTCTGGCACGGCAAGTTACCCCAGGTGGGGTAAGGGTGGCTGGCCCAGCACTAGGCTGGTCTCAGCAGCTTCACCTGGGGGCCTCTTAGTGGCAATCCTGCTGCAGCCAGGCTCTGGTTTTGGGCAGCGCACGCTGCCCCTCTGTGAGCTGCTCTGCTTTTTTTTTTTTTTTAGCAGGTTTTTTTGACCCCGGAGGGAAAAAAACCCTGTGCTGCTATCTTGCAGCACAGAGAATAGCTGAATGTGTTGTATGTGGCACTGCAGGCATGTCTACAGTGCCACCTACCGCATGGCTTTGCTTATCTGGATTTGGCCATACATGGCTAATTTATGTGTGGTTGCCATATACTGTTAAGAAACCTTTTTTCTCAGGAGCATATGATCAGTATACAAACTATGTTTCTAAAGCTTGCAACTTCAGCTTAAAATTAGTGAGGTATAAGGAATATGATATTCCCATTATCTCACAAATCATTTGTTAAAGGAGAATAATATGTTCAAGTAGGAAAAAAAGCTAAAGGTCTTTAGTCAATACTGTACCTCTTTTAATGGGAGAAGGAAGGAAAAGGGGTGGGGAATTATATTTTTCTAACTGCACATCCACCATGTACAAGAAGAAAGTACACCATTCATCTATTAATAATAATCTATTCAGGATCTTATTTTCCAAGAGATAATATCAAGTCAAATGGTCCAGAATTGATAAAGTTTGTAAAATCAAGTTTTTACAGAATCTGAAGACCAACAGAAATGTTTTATATAACCATTGTAATAAAAAGTTGATCAAGTAATCTTTCCTCTAAAATGTTGCAAGCCCAATACTGTGTTTACATGAAGATCTTCTAAATGACATTGACTAATTATTGTCCAAGATAAAAATCATGCAAACAGTAAATAGCTAGCAATGGAGTAAAATATACTAAGATTTTTGGTTTAAGATGAAATTCACAATGAAAAGTAGAAAGGGAATATTTAAATCCCTTCCAGGTCTTTATTTAATATATGTATGTGGAAAACACATTTAATAATTTGTTGATTTTAAAAGCACTCAGGATTTAAAGACGAAAAAACCCAGTTTCTGTCTCAGCTAAAAATTGTTTTTTGAAGTGTTCAGAGCAATTAAAAAAAATACTGTATTTAAAGTAATCTTAAATATGGAGATACAAAGTGCAGCCATTATAGTCTTGTGTAATGGCAGGTTAAAACAGCCCTGGCAGAATTAAAACGATGCATTTGGGATTGAAAGGCTTCTATACCTCAACCCAAATAATATTGCACCTCCTGCTGTGCCAGATGTGTGTAGCCAAAGGTACAATGTTTTCAGCAGGAAATAATATTTCTCTAATCCCAGTTGCACCACTGCTGAGCCCATCTGATCCTTGCCTGATGTGCAGGGGCAGCCCTGTCTCTCACCCAGGATTGTCAGGGCCAGGTCTGACAATCATCTTGGTTGTTGGCCCAGTACTGGGACAGCCTAGCTATATGCATGGCTTTTGGCACTGGGACCCCAGGATCAGTGAGCCTCTCTCCCATACCAGGGTCTCTGTGGCCCAGTAGGTGTAAAAGTGTGGGTTCAGCCTGGCTCCCTGCAACCCAGCATTTTAAAGTGCCTGCAGGGCAAGGCAAGAGAGGCTACTGGGCTCAGGGTTTGCCAGGACCCGTGGCTCCTCTCCTCCCAGGGAACCTTGCAACTTGCTGTCCCACTAGGCACTTTTTTGGCATTGGAACAAGGGCTGTCTTGGTCCTGATGCTGCCCCCTGTCCCCATACTAATCATGACAATCAGCTGATTGTTAGCATCAGCATGTGGATGCTTCACTTTCAGTTTATGCTGCCATACAAACAAGCTATGAAGATGTTCCACATTTTGTGCAGCCATATCTTTGCAGCTGTTTTGCCACTTTCTAGTGTTATACATCAGCTGACTATGTGGCACTGTTACTATTTATGGTGCAATTAACACATTGCACCATAACTGAAGTATGCCCCAGGGGTTGTTCTTATAGTCCGTATTTATTACCTGAATTTCTGAATACTTCCCCAGGGACTGAATTAAACTTATTTTAATGCCTAAAACTAAATATCACTAACTCAGTTCAAAATCAACTTCCTACTCTTTATGTTGAGATAGGAAAGGTCTTTGGAAATATTTTAGGATCTCTAAGGACTTTAGGGCAACTTTTAAGAAATTTATGCCTTTAATGAGAAATTACCCCTAAAAATGCTCTTGTGAAATCATTAGTGAAATATAAATGTAGGCTTTAAAATTTCATTTTACTAGTAAATTTAGGGTAGTTTGCAAATTAATTGGATTTCTCTATGGTTTGGGGTCTTCAGGAATGAGTTGGATGCCATCCCTTGATTTGCCTCTGAAATAAGTGGATGATTTTATATGAGGTTGTCTGAAAAAATAAACATGCCCTTTTAGACTTACCATCCTCCTCCCACCCGGAATTGAATCCTTCAGCACAGATTCTTATCTGCTGGTCTCTGGAGTGGGAAGAATACCAGTTCCAAGGTCACGTAAATGGAGAATAAATAGAGCAAATAAAGTACTAGGACTAGGACTTCTTGTATTCTTGACATTTTGGGATATAATTTTTCCAAAATTTGAATTAAAATAGAAATTACTGAAGTGTAACCGTGTATTAAAAGTTCCAGATTTGTGTTAAGAGACTGTTTTACAGTGGGTTTCATGGTAGATTTAGATTCACATTTCATACACGTTACTGTAGTATATGGTTACTTCAGTACCACCCTCATTGTAAAAAAGATAACAAAACAAAGAACTTCCCCTCCCCAGCAACCTGCAAGAACAACCTAAAAAGCTGCGCATAATGTACAGAAAACATCTGTGTATTACAAGTTTTTAGACCCAAAGCTATTGTGCAAATTTAGAGGTAGGACAATGCTTACTTAATATGCACTTCACATTTCAAGGTCAGGTTATTTGACTAATACTTGCAAGTTATGCTGGCTTCATGAAATATATTGTTTTAAGGAGACTGAAAACCCTTTCCTTTTACTTGTCCTCACACATTCATTTGTAAATAGGCAGTAGAATTTAAATTCCTTTATCTTGGCCTATACTATAATGATTTCATTATGCGTAGAAAAAAAACATGCTGTGCTTGCATTCTTTTTGGCCCTGAAGTAATTCATTAAGGCCTGCATGATGTTGTTCAGCTTATGTCTTTTCAGAGAAAAAGAGAGAGTCTCTAGATGAAAACAAACATTCTTATTTTATGCTTCAGAAGAACTATGGTAGAGAGGAAAAAAGAAAGTTAACTAACACATTCAGTTAATATGAAACATTTTATAACTCAATTTATAATGTGTAAAAGTTTTGTTAGGTTGCAGATGTTTTCAGATAACCCTTCCCACCCCAGTTTTCCTTTGCTGTCTTTGTCAAAAAAATGTTTGTGGTCTTTTGTGAAAGTTTTCTTCAGCTATTACACTTTTAAAGCTTGTTTTTTGTTTTTTTTTATTGTTTTTGCAATCTACTATTCTTTGAAAGTATTCTGAAAGTTGAGTTAATGCTTAATTGAAATGTTATTGTCCTGTAATTATTGATTAGAAAGCTGGAGATTTGTAATTTGCTTGTGCAGCTTTGCTCCATCTGCTTTCTACATGAGACTCTGAGCTCAGTTCTTCAGCTGTGGAACCTACTAAATGCACTGCTTTAGCATAACCCTCTTGTGGCTTTTTTTCTCCTGTGTGAACTGACTAAAGCTTTCTTATTTCCATTTGCCATCCATTTTTAATCTGCTCTGCTCCCTCCCTCTTCATGGATTATAAATCCTTACCCTAATCCTGCCTTTACACTTGTTCAGGATCACAGTCTGCTAACCCCATCGGTGGTAAGACTCTACAGAATTTATGTGTGCATCGTTGTTTGATCATCTGTCTACATAGTACTCATAATAGGACCTATTCAGCAGAAATTTCAGCTCCCTTTCTGTGGTTCTACTCAATTAAATGTAACCCTTTTTTTTGAAAGGCAAAAAAACTACCACCTTTTGTATTTTTTTTGCCATCAGATCATCATTGATTCCTTATATCAAGAACTGCTGATGCTAGTATATGTAAGGTAGATAGTTCTAAAGGTAAGATTTAACCAAAATGTTCAAAGAGTTTACAGTAGACAATATTAGGTATTAGTCAGATATAATAATTCTCCAAGAGCACAGTAGGGTGACTATAAATATATTTTATATTGATCAAACCTATTTTCCCTGTTTAAAAGAGAGGTGGAGAAAAGATTTTCAGGCTTTACAAACTACTTAGGAATTTCTAATATGATTTTTTAAGTATGAAAACAAAAACCTCATATTCTCTCATCTCCTAAAGCCTCTACCACCAGAGAGAGAAAGGTATTCCATAAAAGTCAGGCCTTTCTAAATCAGTTGTAATGATGTGAATGATATCAAGAGACTTCTGCATAAACTCTTAATTCTTACAAAACAGTGTATAAAGCTAGAAGAGATTTCTACTGTTTAGCTCAATACAGATGCCATGTTCCATATGTCCATACCATGCAACATTGCATGTTTTATTTCTGCTGAATAGGCCAGTATTTAGAAAAGGGCATTTTCTAAATAATCATTTGTTCAATTCAAACAACGAATCGGATAGTAGATGCATGCATTGTTTTAGTCCCTCCTTACTTCCCCCATATTATCTTTCAGTTGTTTCTTGCTACCAAGCTTTAATCAGCTTGTGCTCTTGAAATGTGCCTGTGGACTTCATTTTCACAGTATCTGTCCCTTTCAGTTGCTGCTAATGGTGTTTACATTTTTGTAATATTATGAAACTTGCTTGTTGAGATATATTGCAGGGAAAGCTGATAAGCATCCTAACTAGCCTTATCCAGTTTCCCAGCTTCATTTAAAGAGTGAAAAATTACTGTAGACTTCAGTCAGTTAATTTTGGTTAAAATATTTCTTTGCTTTCTAATTAAGATTTTTTTCAGTCAGATTGTTTTCTGTAGTTGAAAACAGTAATTTATACTGGTTGTTGCTGTAAAACCATTTTAATTAGTGTATATAGAGGAGATGAACTGTTCAGCTTTAGTGTTTTAAAACCCAAGTTCTCTGCAGCTGGAACATCAGAGGAAGAGGTAATATAGGTAACTGACCAATTTCTTGCAGTGGGTGCAGCTGAAATCAAAGCTCAATTTACTAATAAATGTATAGTTTTGATTAATGAAAATCTGCTGAATGCTTAAACTTATTATAATCAGAGATGTTTTTCATGATGGTTCCAGAGGCTGGAAATTATAGTTCTGAAAGCTGTAGTTAAGTTTTTAGAGTAACTTTCATGGAAATAAATGTGAGTCTTTCATTTCTTTCTAGCGAGTGATGGATTAGCCTCCAAGAGAGTAGGACTTGAACATCTGGCACTCTGAACACATCATAGGGCTTCCTTAACATTTAAATGATGAACAAAACCTAGTTGCCTGGTGACATTTTTTGTGTTACAACTATTAGGGTGATTAATCCAGTGACATTACAAAGACCAATAGTTTATCTGTGTTTTTAGGTGCTAGTGGTTCATAATAGATCTATCTATGACCACATCAGTTTTGCATAATTTAAAAACTGAGCACAAAAATGTTCATATTGAGGAATAGTGGATCTTTTCACAAACACTTGAAAGAATATTTCTAGTGTGTGGCTTACTTTGTCGCAAATAGTGTAAGGATTTCAAAGTCTAACTGATATAATATACCTACACCTTGTGTAAAATGCTTCATTTTTGAGACTTGGTATTAATTTTACAGATATTTCTCAGATTTTACACTTTATTTTGTAAGTTTTTTCAAGTCACTTTTCCAAACCATTTCAAACAATCTACCACAGCCTTCCTACTGATTTTGATCATGTTTGCTTTCTCCCTTTTTAATCCTACTTTCTTTGAATTTGTTGCTTATGTTTTACTTATTTTGCCTTCAGCTGGTAGCCGATCTGGATCTCCTGGAAGAGTTTTGACGACAACCACACTCTCCACTATGAATACAGGGGTTCAGAGAGTGTTAGTCAATCCTGCAACAGCTCAGAAACGTAGCAAGATCCCACGAAGCCAAGGATGCAGTAGAGAAGCTAGTCCTTCTCGATTGTCAGTAGGTAAGAATTTCTTTGCAAATCATGTAACTTGAAGGATTTGGTTCCTACAGTTCATATTGTTACAGGTGGCGGGCAGGCTGGAACCTGTATAACGGCATTTCTAAAATGTGACTATTGGGCTTTACAGAACCAACTACCAAGGGAGGCCTCCAACTTACTGTATTTTACCTGAATACAGGATAACTTTAAATTTAAGAAGACCCTTCCCCCCAATAATTAGGTATTAGACATGGGCAATTTATAATTTTTTAGGTCTATAATCGAATTATTAGATCGGTATCTTAAATATGCCACCCTCACCACTGCAACAGGGAAAGTAATGGCAGGGAGGTGGTGAAATGACAAGTAGTCCTCCCCATGGCACCTGCCCCCTCTCCCCTGCCATTTGGACCCCCCACTTCTGCATGCTCCCTGCCACTACATACCCTCAGTCTCAGCTCCTGCTTTGGCCTGGGGCATGGAGCACATGATGCCTCTGTTCCCTGCCTGGTCATGTAGTAGTGGTTGGGTAGTGGCAGCTCTGGCTTTGGTCCTGGGGCCAGGGCCACCACCACCGCTGCTGCCCGGCTGGATGGGAACCCAAACCACCATGTGATGCATGCCCCAGCCAGGAGCAGGGCCTGAACCATGATGCCAGAGGCCCCGTTTGCACCTTACATTTTAAGACCTGATTAACCAGTTAACTGCACCTTCAGTGGCCACCTGGTCACGCATTCAGTCAATCAGTGGTGTGATAAAAAGAGGAATAAGCTTCAAAGTTATTCAACAAAATATGTAATAACTTTGTTGCTACTTGCTATCACACTGTTACTTGAATATGTGGCCAGTGTCCCCTGTTGCTGGGAGCCCTGTCAGCTGATTGGAGCTCCCAGCTAGGGGGTCCATGCACCCTCTTGCCTGGGAGATAGCAGCTCATGCTCCCCCTGTACCAGCAACAAGACATGATGGTAACTGATTCACCGTCCCACAATTACATCTCCTGCCAAGCACATGTGGATTGTGCATTAGATCCTATCACACCTTTACCTGCCTGTGTAGAGGAGCCGTCAGGGTAAGTGTTGCCCAGAGACTGGGCAGCAGCATTGTGGAGCAGGCAGGAGGAGGTAAGTGGGCTACAGCTTTGATTCTGAGCCCAGGTTGGGGCTGGAGCCAGAGCTCCAGTAGCCTGCCCCACTACTTTGTATTTGAATCCAACTCAAGGGGTTTTTGAACAGGGGGAAAAAATCAGATTCAAGTAAATATAGTAAATTACATTTTCAAATTTAAGCTGGGACAGTGAAGTCTGCTGCTGTCTCAACACACTGGCATATGCCTCTGTGCTTAGGCTTAAGCCAAGAAGGGAGAATGTGGGAGGAGCAAGTACAAAGCAGTATTGATCACACTTGACTCCCCTAGATAATTAAAAGCAATTGTAAGAAACAAATCTTCATGGCAGCTTGAAAATACTGAGAACAAGAAAGGAGATGTGACGTGAGCTTTCCTGACAATGTGTATAATTCTTACCAATGTGTATAATTTAGAGTTGAATGTTATGCTTCCTGCTTCCTCAGAGGGGTACTGCCTCATGCTTTAACTCAACTCTACCTGTTCTTTCTTGAAATGTCAGTAAATGTAACTGAGTTGCTCCTGGGTTTTTAGTATTTTTTTTTTTCCCCGTTAGCTCTAAACTGAATTCTCTCTCCCTTTTTCAGATAGATTGTTATCCTATACTCTGTTACAGAAGCCAACACATTTCGACAATAGAAAGAAAAAAATAGATGGAATTCACAAAAAGTTGTGAATTATTGTGAATTCATTTAGTTCTGAGTGAATTATTGAGAGAGCTTCTCATTAATGGATGTATTATGAGAGAATCTACCATCTTTTCTGAGCTTTTTTCAAGTGGTTTTAGAGTGATTGTGGAGAAGAAATACTTTTACTTTAGCTGGCTATATTTAATGCAGTTCATTAAGTACAAAAACAGAATGCAAGTAGGTGTGTAAAAAGAGGAGATTTCTATTCTTAGAAATGTCTTTTATCGTATTTATTGAAAAACACAATTACATTAAAACTGCAACTTTTCTTGTGTCTTCTCCTTTCTGTACTATTGTTTCTCTGTACCCTGAATCATACTAGCACGAGGCAGCCGCATTCCTCGACCTAGTGTGAGTCAGGGGTGCAGTCGGGAGGCCAGCCGTGAAAGTAGCAGGGACACGAGCCCTGTCCGCTCTTTTCCACCCCTTGGTAAGTACTCATAGCCCTTGTGCATGGCTACTTTGCCTTTCATTATCTGCACGTAATGAACCCATATCCTCATTTGGCTTATAGCAGGCAACTATTTTTCCCCTTCCTCGTGGCTCACTTTCCATTTACTTTGCTAGAAAAAAATCAATGTGCGAATGGTATGCACATTGAAAAAGTAAATGTCATTTTGATAGGAGTCTTTTCCTAAACATCCATGTGCCTGGGAAGATGCATGTTATGCAATTCCTAGTTTAAAAAGGTAGTTGTGCTCTCAAGTGTGATAGTAGAAGTAACCTTGGGAAATTACATGTTATTTCTCTTGATTTCATTGTTGGATACTTGCATATAGCTTAAAATGATTTTTCTTACTGTGACTCTGCATCCATTAGAGTCACAGAATCAGGTTACATTTTTTTTCTTGTTGCCTAGATCAGACAGGATCACTGGCTGGTTAGCACAAAAAATAGTATAGTTAGTAAGCAGTACTTTTAATAAACAAAAAGAAAGAGAATTCATCCCCTGTTCCTTTACTAATAAGTAGATAATTTCTTCTAAAATTTTTGCTAAAGATACATTATTTTTACTGTAGAGAGGAAATAAATCTCTTCAGTTAGATGCCAGTTTTACAGTCATTTTTCAAAATAGAATTGCACTGTTAAAGTTGTCTTTATTTTCTTTATATAATAAATGTTAGCAAACAGATAAGGGTCTTATTTATGAGGGTGATCCTAAATCCTGTTCTGAATTATACTTTTAATTCCTGAAATGGAAATATAGCATAAAGATTACAAGGTTAGGGGAAAGAAGAGGGGATTTAGGAATGTCTTCAGGTCTAAATGACCACCCTCACATCTTTTTCAAATCTACCGAAACAATGGCACAATGTTCAGGTATATAGTACTACAGTTATTAGGCTGGCATTCTGATTTTTTTTTTTAAAAGGGACAAACTGACATCCATTTACAGAAGCCAAGTGAAAGCACAGGGACAGTATAGTTGCTTTAAAAAATATCATTAACTTCAGATCTTAAATCATTTTAACATCATCTAGGTAATAAATATTAACTTCTATTATTCTTTTCTATGTGATTTTAAAATTACTAGCATTTTATGTAATAAACGTTCTAGAAAAAATATCTTAATTGGCTTTGGGCCTCTTCTGTAAGATAGAAAGTTAGCTCTTGAAGGTACTGTTTAAAAATAACCTAACTCCAAGAGGATGGTAACAATAGATAATGGGTTACTGGGGCACTGTTACTTGACATTTCTTTTTCCATTAACAGTTTTCAGCTTCTGCCAAATACTTTCTGTATGTTGAGATATTTGCTTCCATCAAGAATATAAATCTGGAGAGCCAGGATTTACGAGTTGTTTTTTTTTTGTTTTTTTGTTTTTTCCCTAAAGTGAATACTCCAGGATTTCTTGTCTTACAGTTTCTTAGTCTCAGTCTTCTCTAGTGTTTAACTTAGACCAGGCTTGTCCAAAATACGGCCCACGGACTGCCATGCGGCCCGCCAAGGCATTTTCTGTGGCTTGCAGTGCTGTGACGGGAAACGAAAGTAAACACTGTTTACTTTTGTTCCCACCCCTTGTCCCTCCCCCAGCCCCTCAGCAGCTTCCTAATGGCGGCTGAAGGGCTGGGGAAAGGACAAGGTTCCCACACACACCACATCAACTTGATGTTGCTGACGCGGTGCGTGTGGGAAGAGGAGCAGTCATGTGCCTCTCGGGACAGGATGAGCCCAGCTGGAGCAGCAGGGGCTCAGCTGCACTTCTGCCTACCTGCTCTGGTCAGTCCTGTGCGGCACACAGCTCCGCTGACACCTCTGCTGGCTGGTGCCGACCTGGGTGGGTCTGTCCCATTCAGAGCAGCATGCAGCCGAAGCCACGTTCCCACGTGCCCCTGGGGACAAGAGGAGCCCAGCTGGGTCACTACTGGCCAGCAGAAGCAGCAGCGGAGCTGTGTGCTACTCGGGACTGATGGGTGCAGGTAAGGGGAAAATGCAGCTGAGCCCCTGCCTCTCTGGCCAGGCTTGTCCCATCCCAAGTGTCACACAGCTCTGCTGTCGCTTCTGCTGGCCGGTGCAGACCCGGCCAGGCTCCTCCCATCCCCAGCAGCTCATGGGAAGCTGGCTTCAGCTGCATGCTGCTCCAGATGGGGCGGATCCAGCCGGGTCAGCACTGGCCAGGAAAAGTGGCATGCAGCTGAAGCTGGCTTCCCACATGCTACTGAGTACAGGAGAAGCCTGGCCGGGTCTGCACCGGCCAGCAGAAGTGGCGGCAGAACTGACCAGCGCAGGTAGGGGGAAAGTGCATTAAAAGGAATGGGATTTAGAGGACTCCAAATCTTTTATGACAACTTTGTAACATGCCTATCTACCCCTTTATGCAAATCTCAGCCATAGTTTGGAAGCTCAGCCAAAGAACATAAGAACTTCTGAACATAAGAGCATAAAAAGTGCCGTGCTTGGTCAGCCCCATGGTCCATCTAGCTCAGTATCCTGTCCCAAACAGCGGCAGAAGTGGATGCTATAGAAGGAGAGTTCTGAACTGGTTAGACCCATTTCATTGTCACTTCCTGCAAGTTCATTGGTGTCGAAGGTCACGTGACATCACTTCCTGATGTGATTCCACTTCCTGTGAGGTCTTTGAATATGACTCACTGGCCCACTGGGTGTTGATAAGTTCGTGATCCGGCCCCATGTTCAAAAAGGTTAGACACCCCTGAACTAGACTTACTGGGTAGAGTTTTTTTTATTTTCAAAGACATTTTTCTTGAACTAAATCCTAAATCATAGCAACACAAGTGAAACAGAACAGCAAAGCAAATTAGATATCAATACCTAGATTATTTTTATAACACCTTTGACAATTTTACATAAAACCTGCCTACATCCGTAGTCTATTAATAGTTCCCAACAAAGAATATTTTCTGTAGGTAATAGCCCAGGTTTTATATAAGCTATGTAGCTATAAAAACCTTTTGGTAATTCTACACTACAATGACACAAGTAGATGTTAATTATAACATAGTAGAGACAGCACATATTTTAACTTTAAATCTGTGAAGCAAGATTTATAAGCAAATGCAGTCAACTATTCCAGTATTTTTTGGATTGCTTTGTAATTTCCTTTAACCAGAAAGTACGTTGTTTTTTGTCCCTAAATTTTGACATTAATTTTTACTAACGTGAATTTTTAATAATTTGGTAAAATGGCAAATTTCCAATCATTAATGAGAGTGGGTCTGTTATAACACTGAGGACTCAAATTGCTCAAAAACTATGGAATATTACACATTTTACCAGTAGCATTGCCTTCCTTTGTGATCTTGGCCTATTTGGCTTACTGATTTAGAGTAGTTGTGTTGAAACAAGAGTATTACTTAATAGCATTCCTTGTTTTATGATGATCTCCTTGAGAGCCTAGTATGGGCAAATTGAAGAAGAATTCCCTATTTTTGTACTTGGACGTCTTGATAGTCCATGTTGTTGTGTTGCTTTTTGTGTTGTGTGCTACTGTTGAGTGTTTTCTACTCCCTATATCCCTGAACATTACTGCCTAATTATCTAATAGTGCATTCTCTGCCAAGTAAAGATTTCATAGTTCATCAATTCTATGCATAGTTATTTTGATGCAAATTATATTGGTTAAGCATTGCATAACAGAGTAGAAAATTTATAATTAAGAGACTTTTTTTGTTTCAATATGTTTAAGGACATGGCTTACCCGTAACGTTCAGTTATTGTCTTCCTCATATCAGGGTCAGTTGATTAAAACTGATCGTTTAAATTGCTTTCATCTTAATCAGGAGCAAGCACAAAAACTTGACATAAATAATTAATACAAATTTTCCTTTTTCCTTTTGTTTTTTGCTATGCAAAAATGCAGTATGTCAATGCACATTTATTTGAGCAGTTCTGTAATTTAGCCTACATTTATTTATTTTTTTCATTATGTTAGAAATTGGTGAATGACTTGTTCCTTGGGATTGATGGCAAATTACATTTGGATGAAAATTGAAATTATTTAAAATGCACAAAAATAGTATTTTAAGATCAGTTAAATGAAATTACATTAAATATGGTGTATACAGAAGGAAAAGAGTCAGTTTCTCAAACTAAGTTTTGCATTTAAAACTTCTTTATTGAACAAAAAAATACTAACTATAATTAGGGACCTAAGCAGTCACCATGAGCCAGACTTTCAAAGGTTTATAAGTGCCTAGGCAATTTTTCTACAACGCCTAGCAGTGAAGTTACTTGGCTTATATTCCTTTGAATAATTTTTAAATAATTAAAGTAAATTTAGACTTTGGCATAGGTTGTCTCAGTTTTAAATTCAATTTTTAAAAGGAAAAATATATTTGTATTTAAATCTGTTTTTCTTTTAATTAAAAATTCTGAACTAGAATATGATGATTTTAACTTGAATTGGCTGGCCTGCCAGGGGACATAGAATAGAGCTCAAGCTAGCTTAATTAGTCAGCTGCCAAATAATAACTGCAAAACAGTTGAGCTGCACAATCCCACACTAATTTGGGTATAGGTAAGTATAGTTGATTTAGCAGGGAAGATAGTCTAAGTATACTTTTTTTAGATTGCTCCTAGGGGAATTGTGCCTGTGCAGTTTTTTATATTGAGTTTAAAACTATGCTTGCTTTTATTCATCTTTAAGCATGGAATTAACTGCTTTCTCTGTGTATTTGAGGGGCTTCCCTGAACCTTTTTTCTTGGCTGTTAATGTTGTTTCATACAGTAATACTGCATCTGTTTGCTAAAACTGATTCTTCTTCTCAACTCTACAACTGTCACTGTACCTTGTCTCCATGGTAATAGGCAGGGTTTACATTATCCTGTTATTGCAGCTTCCAGACATCACTCCAGATCTACTGGTGCCCTCTACACCCCTGATGTTTATGGGGCTGCAGGTGAAGGATGAGTACACTTTTCTATCATCTGTGCAGTCATCCTGGATTTTTCCATTACAGTCCATTTTTTAAACTTACTGTTTTTGTTGTTACAAGTTTTGTGTTTTGAATAGTTGAAGTAGATGTGTATTTATTTAATTTCTCCCTCAACCCCAAGGTCATACCTTTTTCATCCACAGCATTCGGTTTAATTTTTTTCCCTTGCAGATGGACTTTTAGTTTTTCATCATTTGATATTAGTAGAACATGTTTTACATATGTTGTTTTCTCATTTAGCACTGTTGGTAGCTGTTGTTTTGTATTTGCTTTCTTTAGGGGGGAAAAACCCAAAATGAAGAAAAATGTTAATAACTAGGGTGTCCTTTAAGGAAAAAAGGGGAAAAAAGTATCTCTGCATTTATATCCCAGTGTATTTCAGTTCAACTTTTGTCTTTCCCTTCTCTCAATACAAATATTTTAAAGTATTCTATTTAGAATATCAAATATGAGTATCAAATATAAATATCAAATAACTACCCTGAAATCTTGAAAGAGATTTTGAAAGGAGAATAAAGCGCTTTCCAAACACTCGTCTTCTGTTTGGGTTTTTAATCATTTTCTGCTTGAGTGTTTAAAGCAACTACATTTTAATTTTGCATTTTTGCCATTTGTACTAATTTTTTGGTTTTTTCTTTATTTCTTACACCAGGTACAGGTTTTGGGATCAGCCAGTCAAGTAGATTGTCATCATCGGTTAGTGCTATGCGCGTGCTGAACACAGGTTCTGATGTGGAAGAAGCGGTTGCAGATGCATTGGTAAGGAATCTCCATTCGTATGAACAATAAAAGCATTGGTCAACTATGTGATTGGGCTTTTTTGTATGTTATATTTGCATTTCTGCATCCAGAAATACAGGTTGTTTAATCCTCTGAGTTCGTTAGTGAAGTGACTAGCACTCAGAATGAGTTGTATGGCTAAGCAGATTAATTGAGGTAGAATTTGCCTTCCCTGGTTACAGCCAGTGTACAAAACTGAAGTCCTGAAGCAGCAAATTAATATTGTATCCAGAAGACTAACTCGCTATATAAGTCTTCTATCTAGATTTTTAGGCCTTGTACCAGGGTTTCACTTTTTTATGCTTTGGCTAGATGTACAGTCCACTATTAAAGAAAATAAAAAAATAAAGGCAGTTGTTAAAAATTATGTTTATCTCTATTGTCATCATAACTCTGTAGAATAAAAAGTTGACCTGTGACTTTGAAACAAAATTGACTAAAGTTTTATTTCCAAGTGTTTATTAAATTACTGTTATGGCTTTAAAACTTAAAGAGAGTGCTTTGATCAAATCTGTCATGGCCAGTAGACAATATTTACCTTGTACGTTGGAACAGCCACAGGAAAAATAATACATGTAGTGGTCTCTTTGTAACTTTCTAGTGTCCAAATGTATTTTCTGTGTTATCAAAAGAATCATACTAATTGAACAACTATTGTAACAGTTTTCATGGAGTGAAAATAGTAGAGTAAGAATTTATTTACAAGAGCTGACCAGTAATGAGACTTTTATTTCATGGAAACAATCTTAAATTTTGAAAAATCTTTATGTTGTACACCAAGAAGGGGAAAGGCAGTTTGGAATCTTTAGTGAAACAGTTTCTTGGACAGAAGCAAGCATTTTTGGGGCAAGCAGGTGGAGAACAGGCCATCTAACTTCCCTAACAGTCCCAGCTCATGGTAGCTTACCATACAAGATGTTGGGGAAATGAAGATTTTTCTTCCTCCTGCAGATCAGGGGACTCTGGGAGCTGAGCTATTGCTAATTTAGGAATGTGGGAATTTGCTGATAAGTTTGAAGTCTAGAAACCTACCCAAGCTACCTGGTAGGTAGGGTGCTGAAGACCTGGCAGGGAATCAGGTAGACAGTATTCCACTGTTATTTAGTAAAAAAAAAATCAACGTGTTCCAATAGCACATCACAATGTTGATTCATGTTTTTTTCTGCTGGAAAAGGGATCCATCATCAGGTTTCTGATCAGCTCTACCATACTCTTTCTTCTGCATTTGACTCGAGTGTTTTGAAGGAATTCTCTTGATTTCATTTCTTTTTCTTTTTTTCTATTAAGACAAGTTTTATATGTCATTTTCTGTATTTTGTTAGACTACTTGCCATATTAGCAAATGAGCAAATTAAGAACTTTGATTAAGTGGAAATAATGAAATTAAGAGTCTGAAGTGGTCTACTACACAGCTGTCCAATTTCTTAAGTAGTCAGGGACTGCAGGCCACACTGGTTGTGGCCCCCCCCAACTGCACGTGCAGTGGGCTCCTGGGACCCCTACCATGCATAGTCTCCCTGATTCACGCAGAGCATGAACTCCCGCGCTTCTCTGGAGCAGTGCAAGCCTGTTCAGCCCCCACTGCATGAGCCCCTCTGCTGCTGCTGCCCAGCAGGCAAGCCAGATCTCCTCCCCATGCCTGTGTGACCCCATCCCCCTGCTACTGCCATGTAGGAACAGACTATATGTCCCACCCCACTCCCACCCCATCACTGTCCTGTGAGGTATCCCAGACCTCCAGCTGTACTGCTTTACACCAAAGACCCTGGCTGCCACCACAGCAACAGGAGCCCATGGGCTGCACATTTGCTCCCTGTGTTCTGGATGCAGCGTGCAGGCTGCGTGTCGGACAGCCCTTGTTTACCATATATTGTAAATCAGTCCTAAGTATATCAATTCGTATTTAAGGCATGAGGTACCAAATTATGCAAATGCTGTGTGGAGTTTATTTGCACAAGGATTAGACTGACAGATTCTTTGAAATACTTAAGCTTAAAATTTACAACCAAACCTCAGACGTTTAAATACTGTGGAATTTGATTTTTGACTTCTCAGAAGGAGAATTTTAATATGAAATTCCTTTCTGTTGATGGTCTGTTCATAAAGGCCATCAATAAAGTATCTCCTTGAACTATTTATCTTTACAGGTCACTTTACAAACTAAGCGTGTGGGAGACAGCCTAGAATATCATTGATGGAAATGACTGTTTTAGAGTAGTTGCGCCACAGTTTTTGAAAATTCTTTAAATTTGAGCTGGGATCAGGAAAGTGTTTCTTCCACTTCACAATTTCATCTATAAAACCCTGCCCAGCAGACCTGTTCAGAATAGTATAGCCAAGATTTCCCATCTTGCAGCCTTCACTCAAAAATAGTTCAGTACTTGGTTGATAAGAATTATTATTCACCTTGTCTGTGTGCACTTTGACAGGATGGTCTCAAGATGGGAATCAGATTTGGAATCGACTAGGCTTAAGCGTTTACTGCTCAATGAAGTTTTGCTTATTTCACAAAGAAACTCCTGGTTTTCTGCTTGTGATACCCGAGAGAAGATTGCAGTAATGAGGAATACTTATCCAACAATTGCAGAATTAAATTTCTGCATGTAACATCACCCACCATACCTTGCAGTGAAAGCCTTGAGCAACAAAGAGGAGTTCAGTAATTTCACTGGCCTTACGTTACTTCTGACATGAGGTTTCTCACTGAAGTGACTGATACCTTTCAGGAATATTCAGATGTTCCTGTTTTTTGCTTTCCCTCCCTTCCCCATTACATTTCCAAAATTGCCCAGCCGTGGTCATTTTGTTTTTATGACATAACATTTTAAAGAAAAGTATGCTTCTATGACTTCCCCTCCCTGTATTCACTTACATGCCTGATTGAGAACAAGTCTCCTGTTACTTATCCTGTTGCTGTTCTGTTTTTTAAAGACATCTCTTGAGATAGTGACTCTCTAAGAATGTAAACAGTACTGTCAATTAAAAGGGAAAAGTAATCACTTTATTTTTTTTTTTTTTTTTTTTTTTTT